GGCCTCCTTCTTAAGCTTGACGGCATCCCTTACTTCCGGTGTCCACCAACGGGTTTGGGGATTGCCACCACGACAGGCATTGGAGACCTTACGGCCACAGCTCCAAACAGCTCATGGAGGTGAGCCCGACTATATATAGCCGGTACCTCTCAACCTCCTGCACAAGCTCGGGCTCCTTCCCCACCAGCGCGGTGACATTCCATGTCCCCAGGGCTAGTCTCTGTGTCCAGAGATTTGGTCGTCGGGGCCCCTGCCTTCAACTGCTGCCCAATCCACTGTGCAATCCTCCTGCAGGTGGTGGGCCCACGGGAGGACGTCCCCACATCGCTCATTCGGTCTAAGCCCTAGAAATCCAAGTCCAGTTGATTTTTTCTAAGGTTTTTTCAGTTTACTATGACCTGGATGACTGAGAATCTGCACAGACATCGCTTGACAAAGCAATACATTTTGTGATGTTTTTGTATCGTGCTATATTGAATTTTGATATACAATATTGTCCCATTTCTAATAGAAACCAATAGTTAGATCCAAGACCCTCCAGCTACCAAGTAAAAAAGGGGCCTGGTACCCATTTATTTGAAAACTTAATACCCTGAAGGTGAAATTAACACTAAATATTCAGCAATATGAAAGCCCATTGATGCACAGTAAGGCAAGAGTAAGGTTTGAATATTTATTTTTACTATATTATAACTATTTCTAAACTAAAAACAGGACTTCAAGACTTAAGTGAGGTGAAAACATCAACCTACTCATTCTTGGAGAAAGTTTGAATGGAAAAATATGGTCAGATATTTCCAGAAAGAGAAATCAGTTCAGCAATGGCCTTTGGAAAGAAGCTGTGCTTCAGCCTGGTAGTACATACAGTTTTATCTCTGGCTCTTTAACACCTCGCAACAGAAAAGGAGATAAAACTGTATGAACTAGCCTCAACCTACTTTCACACTGTTTTTACCAAAATCCAGGTTATGGCAGTAAACATGCCTTAAAGTTACTGTACTCGTCACTACCTCCCACTGTTATGTGGCTGTAGGTCACTGCCACTCTGACACTGTCGGTCTGTCCAATAACACTGATTACTTTGATCTTACCGCTGCTGCGAGCGCCTCTGGCAGATGGAAATCTAGATACTTTAGACACTTTTTATACTTTATGCCTTAATTGGTTCGTTGCACACTATTAGACTTCAGAGGGGTTTTTGGTACCTTAATTACTTGCCCTCGCTCTCATTCCTAATTTTATTTGCCTTTATACAGTGTTGGATTTTTGTTTCTACTGTCTGTAAACTGTTGGATACCTTGAATTTCCCTCAGGATCAATAGAGTACCTCTCTCTCTCTCCCTCTATCTATCTATCTATCCAGCTAGCTAGCTAGCTTTGATGGTGCTACCAGAGGGGAACAGTGAGAAGAGCCGATGGGAGGGATGTGTACTGTGCCCAAGGATATTGTTAGAGCAGCATAAATAGGACATTCTAAGGACGTCCTCCAGTGCAGGCTGGTCGGACACCAGTAATTTTCTGAGAAGCTTTGATGACTCCCGTGTGTCTGGTGGTTCAGGAATGTCCTGGGATTTCCACTGTCTAGATGACAGTCGGAGATAGCATGGAAGAGGACTACAAATCAATGCATTTTGTTTTCAGGTGCTGTCCTCTGATAAAACTCCACCATATCTGTAGGTTTCTCTAAACTGTACATCTTTAGAATAATATTGATTGACACTAAAAAGGCCATCCACAAAAATGGTTAAATCAAGAACAGGTCACATTATCGGACTGTGACATAACCTTTTTGTGATTGAGAAACTGACCTTTACTTTATGACTTAAGACAATCATATCTGATTGAATTTATCCAACCATTTAAATCAAACTTTTGGTCAAACTGTATCAGCTGTACTGTAACCTCCTGGTTTTCTATTAATAAATAAATGTACAAAAGGCCAGCTCTGCTCTGACGCTATATAGGCAACATAAGCTCCAGAAGCTTCCACACTGCTAATCTTGAACACCGGCCACTGAATCAAACAGACATAAACATACACTTAAAGACAGGAAGCAAAGCACAGGCAATTGCATAAAGAGGCAGAGTAAGACCGGAAATAGCCAAGGGCTAAAGCTGCAGAAGCAAATGATGCATGTGTGCTCACAGTATACGCAGCCACTCACACTCTCTCAGTTGACTGTTGCAAATCAGGACTCATGGGGATGAAGCAAGATAGTAATATGATACCAGAGAGAAATGTTCCTCGGGCACAGAGGTTTCACCTCAGTCCAAAGGCAGATCGACAAAACCAACAAAAACTGCAAAGCTGTGTGCAAGTGTGTGTCTGACGGAGTGGAACAACGGGGATGGCAGGAGAGAAATCAAACTGTCTTGAGATTGTTACGCGAAGTCTGTCTGTCACTTTGAACTCTGCCTGCCTTAAACTGCCTCAGTGTCTCCACACACACACCCAAGCAGACACACACATATTCACACAGTTCATAATTCCCTGACACACGCTGCAGTGTGTGCCATCATCTTGTCACTCCTCTGACTCTCAGCTACGGTCAGGAAACTAAGCACATTTCTCTCCCTATACTGCATATGATGCTAAATTTGAGCTAAGCTACGTGATGCAGCTACTACCCCTGTCTTTGATAATGTCTTTAAGAAAACCCAGATGGGCTTTATGGTGTTGCTGCAGAGCTCATCGGGGTAACAACAAGGACAAAGTTCATCATGTTCATATTGTGAAATAAATGTTTCATGCACTGCAAGCATGTGTCACATACGGAACGTGCTGTGGTAACAACCGAGCAGAAAAAAGCTCACTGCTGGGCACAGGTGTTCTCATCAGTTCATCATCATCATCATCAGCTCAATTCACCTTCATGACTTCCGGAACCAAATTATTCTTATACATTTTAGTTTTCGATCTCTTACCAGCATCTCTACTGTTTGCACAGATGGTAGGGTGACCTACACTTCTCAGTGCAATGTTTCCATACCAATAACATGACATTATTCTTCTGTTACGGGTGGAAACCATATAGCTGTGAAGCTGCACAATAAACGGCACTGCCTAGGGTATTTGTGTGATATTGTTTTTGTGCTACTCCCCTGATCTTAGCTGCACAATGCTCATTTCTGACTGCACCACTGACAAAGTACAAAGCTCAAGGACTATATTTTCACTAGCACTAGTTCATGTGTCATTACTGAGCCTTTGATATTCTTTTTTATGGGCATTTCACCTTTATTATTTTTATGGGTTAGGTGGGTTGCGGACAGGCAGACAGACCATTTGGCTATCAGGGCACCCCCAGCCTTCGGTATTCTTGTGCTGGAACTTTCAGTGTTATTTGATCATTTGTTGTGCGGACACTATGTACAGAATAACAAAAATAAGTAGTTATAATTATCCATGCTCCAAGCATAAGCATGAGTTTTATTGCCAAGTATTATCAAAAATACAAGGAATATGACTCCAGCCCAAAGGCTGACTAGTGTACAGAAACTGGATGTGCATAATTTGTATTTACAGGAAGAAACTGAGTGCAAACAAATGGCCAGCAGCAACCAAATGTCAACCATTACCTTGGTTGTGTTCTGTGCCTTAAACAGTCATGTCAGCAGAAAACCCAGGGCTCAGTTCAAAGCCAAAAAGACTGGTCCTTCTGATGTGTGTGCTAAGGTCATATTAACATCAGGTATATCACAATCCTATCAGGAAGGCTCGTCAGTCACAGATTTTCTCAAATCTTTTGTTAGATACAGTACTAGGAGTCATGATTTGTTCTGGATTGTGGTTGTAATCCAAATTAATAATTAGCTATCACAGATACCAGAGTAAACTATAAAAGAAGCTTCAAGTTTAACACTGTAGCAGGGTCAACATTTTTAAATTTGCCCCAAAGCTAAAATCGGTTGAGGCAATAATTTAAGTCTTTTAGTTTAAAGCATTTTTCCACCTGCATATGATATGCCAAGAGCACAGCAGGGCCCCATCTGCCTGTCATGTAACTGATAAAAGCAAGTGAAATCTATGGATACAAAACAGGGTGCATTGATTTGCCCAACACAATTACACTGCTCGCCTGTTTCAGAGATGCTATTGAGCTTTTTTAAGTCAGTCTGGAGCTTCTCTGACCAACACAGATAAAAACTCGATACAGCTGACATGATCAAAGCATCTGGACACCAAAGGGTACTGAATTAATGTCAGTAACAAGTGCTGCTACATAGCAGCAAGTCTTTGCTTTGTTCAGACTCAGACATGTCTGAGCTCTCAGACCTAACAGCTGACTTCTGACCTCACACTATGCATTGGTCTAAACCTTTTATCTGCTGGCATTTATTTGCATAAACGAACCTGGCCCTCTGTGCACATTTCCCCTGCTGTCTCTCCATTTTGTTGCCCATGTTGTTCTGGTTCTGTTTGGTGCAAAGTAATATAAACCCTGTGTGAACCTGACTGATACTGAACTTTGTATGAACCTGATTCCTTTTCTAATAAATTCATTCCAGGAATATACTGTAGACGTGTCACAGACCCGTCGCTGTAAGAATCTGTGTCTGTGTGTGAGGTCCACCTGTGTGAGGAGCAGCCTCAGGGCCTGTGCTGCTTCCTGGCTGAGCTCCTTAACCCCCCTCCTCTCCACCGCCTCCATCACTTGGAGCAGGTCAAGCTCAGACAGCACTGCTGTGCTGCTGTGCTGCAGGAGCTGCAGAGGACAAACACAGGAGTGAGGAGTGAGAAAAGTAACAAAGGAGAGGGATGCAGAAGGGAGGCATGAGTTACAGCTGACCAGTAGTTTTCTCCTGAGCTCACTACATAATGAATAAAAAGGGAGTGTTTGGAGACAAAGCTCACAACATAAAATACAGTAATGTCTCAAATATTTTTGTGTGGTGTCCTGTGTCAGTCTGTATGAAGCTGGACTGACTTCACTCTCATTACTCATGTGATTTAAATACTTGTACCACTTCTATGTCTTTATTACCTTCATTAACTTTTGATACTTTTAATATCAAATATTTATTACAGCTCAGAACCAATTCAAAGAACTTATACTTGATTGAATGGTGAGTGTGTGCGCGCATGTGCGTGTGCGTGTGTGTGCGTCAAACCTCTTACAAGTGAGATGAGCCTGAGAATGGCCGGGTGCAGAAGGCAGCTCTCTCCTGATCCGAGAAGGCAGTAGAGGAGGAATCGACTCCATGGCTGACACACCACATACGTGGCTAACACACAGACACACACGCACAAAACAAAGCCAGGGGAGAAAAATGACAAGTCAAGAAGCCTCATTCTGATCCATCACATTTTATTTTTCTCCATTTCTCCTGGTGCAACTACTGAAAATATTTACGCCTGGAGAAAAATACTACATCTGAAACATAAAGATACACAGCATGTGAAGAACAAACACACATACTGCAGCACAGAAGACAGAGACAATAAGAGAGAGAATAATGACACACGCAGGAATAAACAGACACACTGTTAATTATGATCTCTTACACAAACACACACACAGATTCTCTCACATGTACACGTACTGTGCACTCACATGCTGTTGATCACAGTTGTTTTTTTTTACTATCAAACAAATGCACAGATGTGCAGCCTTTCATCTGTTTGACACATGCATTTAAACACCCATTGTTTTCCTTCTCTCATGAACACATGTACAGATCATGACATTCGCTCAGTCCCAAACTGTCTTGTACAGTACCTGTAGTGGGACTCTTCCTCTGAAGAAAGCCCAGCAGGGAGCTTAGACAACTGACTGACGCTCTCAGCAGCAGCTCGTGCTTCTGAGGAGCAACAGACTCATTAGAGTGAAGCATAAAAGAGAAGCTGAGTATACACATAAAAAGTTAAAAGAAATCTTGCATATCTTCCACCTCTAAAATGCCATATCAAGTCATACAAGACAGAGAAATATGCCTGTGTGCTTTACCCTGTCAACTATGGACACAAGCACAGCAACACATGCACAGGAAACAGATGAAGAGCACACACACAAACACACACTCACCAGTGGACAGAGATTCAGATAGAAACAAAAGGGAGAAAAAGGGGACACTGGGGAGAGAGAGTGTGCAAGGTTTTAATAATGCATGCCTCTCCCACAGTGGTGGTGCTAGCACTGAGTGCAATGTAGCGTCCAAAAATACTGAAGTAGGCCAGGTGGACGCAAAGACAACAGTGGAGAGTCGCACTCTAATCCTGAGAAGAAAGCAGCCACAGGGATGAGAGGGCAAGGAATGTGCAGTGGGTTAAGAGAAAGGACAGATGAGAAGAGGGAAGGGGAGAACACAAAGATGAAAGCACAAGATCATATGAGAGTAAGGAACGCTGAGGGACAGAATACGAGGGGAAAGGGAACGAGAAAAAGTAGAGGAGATTCAAGAAAGTAGAGGGCAGAGGGCAGACAACAAGCACAAAGGAGCTTCTCCTGCCACTGAACCTCACAGGGATAAGAGACGAAAACAGGGGTAGAGCAGAGGGAAGACGGGAACTGCTACTCCCATCAGCTGCTGAACAGTTGACTACAGAGCACTGAACCATAGGGCAGAAGCTCTGCTCAGCACTACACTGTGGAGCCAGGCACGGCCACCGGATACAAAGAAACACACCAGTTATTTTATAGTTTGCAGATTTTAGTGACGCTGTCTCTTTTCATTTATTATGTTGATGGTTGTATTGTTTCATGCATCAACACGTGCCTGTACTGTTACACTTCATTAGCTGGAGCTTTGTCAAGGTTTTGCATTAACCCACTGAAACACAGATAGCAGGCTTTCACACTACCTCCCACAACAATGCTGACACCTTTTCTCTTGTTTAAACATCGCTTTAATTATCTCTCACCACTGGCAAGGGTGTGTGGATAATTAAGGACATCAGTTTTAGCATTGTTCTTCAGGTTCTGTCCTTCAGCATATTGACTTTGACATACAACACTGGATATAACATAAACATGCCAGGCCACAGTGTTAGTTTGAGTAGGTTTAACATCATAATGCTTGTAGAACACACAGTGCTCAATTTAAAAGGGTTCAAACTTACCTGGACACTTGGCTGCCAAATGTTTGTTGAACAGCTTTGTGTCCTTTCAATCTTTGTTGCATGCACAAAGGAGCCCACACATGGCTCAGAGCCGGTGACTAAGAGTTTCCATTTAGATTATAGCAGAGTTCTCTGTCCGTATGATGAGTAAAGTGACTGTGCATGTACAGAAGATAATGGGCTCAAAAAAATCTGTCAGAGATATCAAAGGTTGTTGGTTTGCCCGAATCAACAGCTGGGTACATTCTATAAAAGCAGATGTGCACAGGAAAACTAGGAAACGGGAGGTGAGCGGGTGCGTGACCACAAAGCATGTCAAGGGAACTGTTGAAGACGCAGGCGTACAAATGTCTTTAATCTAGAGAAGATTTCATGAGCAGAACCTCAGAGGATTCACCACAAGATGCAAAACTCTGGTGACCCTCAAACACACAAAGGCCAGACTGCAGTTCACAAAAACACACAAAGAACCTGGCAGAGTTCTGGAAGTTCTCTGGACTAGTGAAATAAAAATCAACCTCTATCAAAACGATGAAAAAGGAAAGCGTGGAGAGAAAAATGAACAGCTCATGACCTAAAGCTGTCAATGGAACTGGCACAGTGGTGATTATTGATGATTTCCCCGCTGAAGCAGCAGCATGAATGCAGCAGCACACAGGAGCATTGTGCGTGCTCAGGTTCAGCTGAATGAAAGATGACATTTCATCATTCGGCAGGACAACAATCCTAAACATACAGCCAAAACAAAGAAGAGAGTTTTTCAAGGTGAGGAGGTGGAATATCGCCTGATCTCAGTGCAGCTGAGCTGCAGTCCACCCGCTGAAGACCTCAGTAAAGCCAGAGAGAGCTGAAGATGCTGCAGAGCATCAGCAGTCTGTTGATGTGTATTGGACGAAGACTTCAGGCAGCCATCGGCTGCAAAGGACTTTTAACAAAATATGATGATTTTGCTCGACTTCATGTTTCTCTGGCCCATTTACTTTTAACCCTTTCAGCAATACTGATAAAAGGATTTAAGCTCCCTCACATTTCCTTATATTCTGATGTAAACCTGCTCAAATTAAAGCTGATACTTGGCACTTTAATGTAGTATCCAATATTTTATCTCAAATGAAATGTCAGCACAGGGTTGGAAGAACAAAAAATGTGCAACTTTCCAAATACTTAGATCTGGACTGCACCTTGGCTGTTCAGTTTTAACAACCTGACACTGATACTGTGGCAAAACAAATCATTTTACTATAACCCACGGGCATCTGGAGAAATGAGGAACTGTCTGTGGCTGCTTCCGGTTGATGTCTGCTTGCACTGCTTCATCTTCATCTTCATCTTCCTGTACAAACTTGTTTATTATGTGCTACTGTGTACATGTGCCTGGGCCGTAAAAATAACTTGAACTCATGACTATTTAATGGACAGTGACTTTTAGATGCGGGCTACACTGAAGACAAATCCTTCTGTCATTTTACGGACACAGTCGAAATGCATTGCCGCCGCTCATTCTGGAGCTACTCGTCAGCTTCTGCAAGCTTTGTGATTCATTGATTCACCATCTCTTAGCTTCAGTCATACAGAAAAATGGAACCTGTTATTGTGTGCCTGTTCAGCCTTGGCTATTAACTGATGGCAGTAAAGGTGGTAGCCAATATATTTCGTTGTGTGATAGACCATTTTAGTGCATCATTTTTATGTAGTGCCTCTGTGTACTCTGATGATGTAACACTGCTTTGATCATAAAAAATTACCAGGCTGAAACAACAGTAAAAATCAAAAGCCCGTGTTAAGTATCAACATATGTAGTAGTCCAGTGCACAGTAGATTCTTTACAATCCCTTGATAAGGGGTTTATCTACCGTCTCATTTTGTGCACTGGATTCCTCATAATTTGGACCGTCCTGGTTGTTGCTCTGTGCCGGCTACCACTCAGGAGGAGCAGTACCTCACCTGTTTACTGTCAAACGCAGGCTGGTGGGACACTAGTCTGCGATTTTTGTAATAAGCAACCAAAGTCAATACACCAGCTACATGTAATAAGATTGTGCAGACATCTCCGATAGCTCTGACTCTGTGTGACATACCATTACGGTAACTGTTAAATCAATTGCAATCTCATTTTCTACACAACCTTGTTTGTGAAAGGCAGCTTCAATGTCATGCTGTAAAGATCCTAAAGATTACCTTCATGTTATCTCTGCTGCAGAATGCAGAGCAGAGTGAGAGTAAAACAAGAGACAGAAGGCATCATCATATCAGCAGTTACAGTAGGTCCACAGCTGCGTGAACACATGGTGATGTGTATCTGTTTGTGGACAGATACACATAAAACTGATGTCATCTTTGAATAAACATTGCTGTGCATATTATTTTTGTAGCATCTGTTACAATCCCAAGAAAGTCAATATTTGCTGGTTTATAGAAATACAAATAAAAGACTGCATTAGAGAATGGCTGTGGAATTTCCTTCAGCTTCTCATAATGAATCTCTGTCCACCAAGCCCCGTGAAAGCCAACGTTATCACCATCACTTGTTGAAAACTACACATCTGATATCACTCCACCCTTCATTACAACACAGAATTTACTGTAGGTGTTCTCTGTTGTTTCTGCTTTATACAAACAGGAAAAGTGGGAAATCCAGTGTTGCACTGATAGTCCCTGGAGTGGAATCAAGTATATCTTTTGATGTGAAATCCATATTGCTCTTAAGATGGTTCAACAGTAAAAACAACTGAGCTATGTGTTCCAGTGTTTAGAGATTGGCTGTACAACTGTTATATCTTACCGGTCAAACACTACCGCGAGTCTCTCTCCTATGAGTCCTCACACACCCTGAACTGTTTGACCTGACACACTTGAACTTGATATCTTGGCATTTTTGACTCTTTTCTTCAGGTATCAAACATCAAAACTTAGCGTTGATCAAAACTTCACAACACACTGATTCCTTGAACCGTTTGGTCAGGACCATTTGAGCAGTGCTTCTTAAACATTACGTATCATTCCTTTGGAATTAAAATTCACCGAGCTACCTGAGGATTAAACCCACAGCCTCAGTTTTAAAAGAGTCCTGGCTCAGGCCTGCATCGATCTTCACTGTGTCGTAAATGTCCACTGTGAGTCTGTAATGACTATAACACACACACACACACACACACACACAAATATCAACTCCTACAACCTGCAAAAGAAGTCCGCTGAGAACAGTGGAGAGGCACTGGGACCCTCTAGAGCCAAGAGGGTACAAAGCTCCGTCTTCGACCCCCAGGGGTCTGGGCCCAACCAAGCCAGGACCAGAGCTCACACACATCACTGGTGATGCCAGGTCAACATCAAGTAAAGCCTGCAGCAACCTGAGGTAGCTGACTGGAATGACAGTGTGGCAGAGAGAGGGAGAAAAGGAGAACAGGTGAATGGCTACAAAGTCAGTGGGAATTATTAGAGGAAGAAGAAATCCTGAACACAGCAGAGCAAGAGGAAGAAGGAAAAGTGAACAAATGTGCAGGGGAAGGCCACAGGAGAATCAGGTTCACAGCACAAAAAAGTGAGTGAACACAGAGAATTGGAAGTTTGAAATTTAAAAGATGATAAAAGCAGGTAGCAGGGGGAATAGAAGCAGAGATGAGAGGCAGAATAACAGCTGAGGCAAACTGAGGATCAGTTTTGAACTGACATGTGACAGAAAGGAAGGGAAAGAAGGGAGTTATCGGTGCCAAGTGTAGAGAGCGTGTGAGACGGGGTTGAAGGAAGGCTAGCAAGACTGAAGAACCAAAGCAGCGATAGAGATAAAGAGAGACATGGCCAAAATGACTGCTATAACACAGTGGGGCCCAAACTGAGAGCTGCCAGCCTTTTGAAGTGCACTTATGCCATGTACAGTGAGATTAGAGCTCTCTGAGGGAGGGAGAACTCAATTAGCAGCAGCAGAAGAGACAGTACAGAGATAGAGAGTGAGAGATGGATGGACGAAGCAAGGAAGAATGAGAAGCATAAGGTAGATAAAAAAAGAAGACAGAAGACAGAGGGGAGGCTGAGTGAGTAAGGGAGTGAAGAGAAAGAAAGAAAGAGAGAAAGACAGAGAGATAGGCAGGCAGAGGGAGGGAGCCAATACATCACAGCAACCCTGACAGGCCACTTATCCAACTGACAGACAGAGACACAGGAGAAGCAGGGATGATGTGTCTCCGAGTGGTGCAAGGGGATATGGGGCCACTTAATATAATGAAAGTGTGTGAAATGTATGCCTGGGGTTTGGTTGCCTCTGCCGAGGAGATAAATATTACTTACTCTTACTTGTGGAAGAGTCCATGACTAGAACCTCAGTCTGTCCTGAGGTTTACACAGTATATGGACATTTGTTGCAATAATCAGGGTTAGGCATCCCTGAACCAAACACCACTGACATATTTTGAATTATTTTTGGTTGTACACACCCTGTAGTGTGTCTGTGACTGGACAGAGTAAAATAGAGAAGCACCAAATTACAGAAAGGATGAGGCTGAGAAGAGATGGACAGAATAAGCAAAACTGGGAGGACAAAGACAAAATGAAAAAAAAAAAAACAACAGAAAACACGAGCTGTTCACATATAAATGAGAACCTGGGAAACTAAAGTGTTCATACAGTAGGTTAGATACACTTGCTTTAAGCATTAGCTCCTGCAGTGCAGCACTAGTGAACTGCTTTGGCATCTACTGTCTATAAGGGCAGCAGTCTTCCAAAAATAATTATCACATAAAATTCTGAGTTTGTTACCTAGCAAGAGATTGTCTGTGTTTCTTTTCTGAACAAGGAGACGGTGCACAGCTGTGTGCAGATTCCAGCTGATGTTCCTGTGGACCTTAAATGATGTAGAAAGAAAGAGAAAACAAGGGAGAGGAGAGAGTCAGAAGAATAACAAGATTAGGACTAAAAATCTAATTGCAAGTAAGAATGCATTACCCCGGTAGTGAGAGCAGAGCACAGAGAAGAGATTGTTTTATACCACAGTCTTACTGTGATATTTATCAAATGAATCCAACTGGCATTTTGTATTCTGCAACCACACTTGAATCTATGTCCCATTTTACTGAATGTTCTGTGTCTTGCCCTTGACCGTGCATCGACTGTGTGAACGTCTATCCTGAAGTTGTGATAAGAGCGAAGCTGAGCTGCAGCGTGTACCTGGGCGGAGTGAAAGTGCTGCAAGGTAATGAGGGAGGACAAGAGTAGATGGCTGCAGCACAACAGGGCTGAAGGAAGACAAGCTGATGAAGAGAGGGATGCTTCGGAGGAGGCGGAAGAGAGGGCTGTCTGCAGCTGGTCCATCAGTCCACTGTTGGAGAGCAACATGGATACAGCTGGGGAGGAGAAGACACTAAGTCATCACACTGATGGGATCGGCACGTGTTTATCGTGGTGTCTGTGAAGAGCAGTTGGTCTGGATGGCTGCATAGTGATGTGCTGCAGACATCCACCCACAACTGTGCAATAAAGACACACACTTTCTGTGGCACCAGTGAGGCCAGTAGAACAATAAAAGAGATAAACTTATTAAAATTAACAACTACACAGGCCCATATTCAAGTGCTCAAACACACACACACACACACACACAGTCATATCTTATTGCAACTGAAATTTGCCACCTCAGTGTTGACCAAGTACATATCTTTTGATGTGACCTAATATACAAAATACAAGTAGGCTTTTGCATCTGCAAGAATGAACAGAATACAAGAGAAATCATTAGCCTAATATTGGAGTCATACAGTATATAGGCAACAAGCCAGGTCAACTGTAAGTATTGGACAAACTATCATGAAACACATAGTTAATATGTTTTGCCTTGAGATAGAGGGATGAGACCTATTCCTGTCTTCCTCACCATCAGCTGAAACACCATCTAGCCTGAGGCTGAAATAACTAGCATCTCTAAACTCACCGTGAGAGATGGCGAACGCAGGTAGGCTGCAGTGGAGGGAGCAAAGCATTGCTAAGGGCCTAATTAGCTTTGTTTCCCAGTAGCACTGCTGGCCACTGGCTTCGCCTTATGAACTACAAACCAGCTCACTACTGACAGGTTTGTCCTTTGAAGCTTGTTCAGGGAAATGAGTTACAGTAGGTAATAAATAATAAAATTAATATATTTATGGTAAGAGACAGTGTAATGTGACATGATTCATCCTATTTAAGGGCAGCTGACAGCAAATTATTCAGTCATTCAGTTCCATAATGAAACTATTTTGTCTATACTTTGGCTGACTGATTCAATCTGACATTGGCTTTTTAGAATTCAGGAGTTTTTCTTCTCTTGAACAGAGATGTCTTGTAAAACCTTTAAGGGCAGATTCCTCTTTCTTTTTATTTTTCTATTATCTGTTAAACAAAATAAATTGTGTGTGTGAGGGCTCTGAACTTAGTGTTCATGTTACTGTGTTGGTGGGTCTACACTTGTGTGGTTTTGTCTGTGGGTTACATCTATTTAGGGTCAGTGAGGTGCAACACAAACCCTGAGCACTTCTCCTGCTTTTGTGCAAATGTGTGACAAGCTCTCAGGCTATGTGTACAAGAGTCTAAGGCGATGTCAAGAGCTGAGCCAGTTTGTGCATTATTTATGTAAAGGCGGTGTCAGCCCGTATATACAGTATATTCTATTATTTCCTCTGTCAAGGTCAGCCTCCCACCGCTGTCAGAACAGCAGGAGAAATGAACTGAAAGCGACAAAACTGAGGCAGAGGATGTAAAAGATGCCACGCTGGGAGGGTAAAGAGAGTGAGACAAACACGTAGCGATAGAGAAAGAGGCAGAGTGTGTCTAACCTCTGTCACTGCAGTGTGCAGGGGACAGACTCAGGCAGCAGTACAGGTAGCTGAAGGCAGGCAGCAGACTCTCTGTGTCCGTAGGCTTCAGTCTTCCTGCTATATTACTCACTGACACACACACACACGTTCAAACCAATGGCTCACTTGTCTAATATTTTATCTGCAGTGCTCTCAAAAACATTTGACAAACATTTCACCTGAGAGAGACATCGAGACAAGACGTGACAGACAGATCAAGTCTAATGAGCATCATCATTTAATGTCTGTCACGTCGTGTCTACCACTGGTCGGCAAAATCTGAATAATCTGATCTGCCAGTGAAAATGTCAAACACCAGAGGCTGGAAAATATAACTAACAACTCAGAATGAGATTTCACTAACACAGTAAATACTCAAAACCCAAGTGGTAAGTCACAGAGGGACGAGGGGTGTTGACATCAAGGCAAAAAGCAAAGCAAATTCCACTTGAATAATAATATGCTTAGAGTTCTAATATGCTAGACATGTCTAGTAAATTTTCATCAGCAGCCAGCACTCCTCTGAATAGGTCTGTTGATGATATTAAATCAAAGACGAGCGAGGCCTTCATTTAGGAAGGAACACGGGTGCATGCAGAGGGAGGTGTTGAATGCAGACCATGTGCTGAATAGAGAGAGATGTCTTTGTACAGGCAATAGATGATTGTATGTCTGTAAGGGAGCATGTAACTATCTGTGTGAGCATGTATCATACAGAAGAGTAGTTTGCATGCATCGCTGCACAGAACTAAATGTGACGCGAGTCTTTATTGTAGCATTTCTGAGCATCTGAGTGTATAAGAAAGTGTTTGAGTGTGTGCCAGTAATCTAGCAAGTGCTTTATTAAACCTGCCCCTAATGTACGATGGTTATTTGAATATGCAGACTATGTATGGAAACTGTTTGTGTGTCTATGCTAATGAATGAGAGCTGAATGGAGGGGATGTAATGTAGGCTTAGGATGACCTGCCAGCAGCTCCTATTGACCTCACCATGGTAGAGCAGCTTGAAGTGCACCCCATCCATCTTGCTGTAGGAGGAAGATAAAGGCAGGTCACTGGCCTGCGTCACACAAAGCAGCTTCAGCACCAGAGGGAGTGAGTTCACTGCTAAACAAAGAGAAAAAACACGACTGTAAACAGAATTGTGAAAAGGGCAAGAGACAAGAGGGATAAATAGGCAGGCATATAAAAATAAATATGAGCACAAGGAAAACGCTGAGGGAGAGAGAAGATAAACTAATAAAACAGTGAAGAGCATGAGAGACAGAAAGGTGAGGGAGTCTTGCACATGAGAGACTGCCTGATACTTCACCTCACCTCATTACTGATTCAGAACCTGATGTTCCCACAGAAGTTTTCAGCAAAGCCAAAATAGACTACATTGTTCAAACTGACACCATTCAAACAATGAATGATAAGGAGTGTTTAAAATTAGCCGGAGTATATTACATGGACTGGTAGAGCTGTGGAACGAGGTTCTGCTGGCTGTAACACACAGTGATCATCGAGATGAAGCAAAAAAAACAAACAAAAAAACACATAAACAACAATATTCTGGGTCTGGGTCCAGGGTAGGGTTAAAGCTGGTGAAAAACACAGAGAGAAAGCAGAGATGAGGTGCAAGGAGACAAAAGCCAGGAGTTCTCAACAGGAAAAACCCTGGAGGAAGATCATGAAGAAGAATCATCCACATACTGTACTTCTTTCACTGTTGTAGTGCATAACATTAAAATATTCCCCCTTGGGATCCTGCCACATTAGTGGCTAATATAAAGTGTACACCAATGCAAATTACAGCGGGCTGAACTGGAACATGTGTGGGGATAATGGCCTGCGATCCCCACCGGACCTGGGATGAGCAGAGAGCCAGCAGAGAGCCAGCAGAGGCTAACCACAGCAACAGTGTCTGAATCCTCAACCGGCACACTGGTGCCGTGCCCTTCAGCTGTGTTCATTAACCTGGTCAAGCAAACAGACATAATAATGCCATCTGGCAAACACCTCGCCCAGGAGCACATTACAGCACCAGATATGCAGACAAGGAACTGAAGCTGTAATCCAGTGTCTAAGTTCACAAAGAGCAAACCAACACTAAACAACAGTAAGATTATCAACAAAAAGACTATTCTACAGTACATTAATTAACCTGAACTTGTACTGGGATGATATATTACTGTTGTTGTACTACTAAACTGTCTAAACAGATGTCAAGTCAATGACAGTAAACAGGAAGCAGAGTTGCCTCAAACATATACAAGTGTATAAAACCCCAGTATAACAATGTAGTACACACTGATAATACAGGCTGTGAAAACATAATCAACACCACATGCTTCCTACAGGGGGAGAAATCTAGATAAACAAGTGTTTCACATCCCACAGTCAGAACTCCCAAAGGATGTTGGGAGGGTTTGTTTTAACAGAGCATTAATAGGTCTTTCCTTCACACAACAGAAGAAACAGTGTTCTGGGAACTCTTTTGCCATTTCAATTCAATTTAAAACTAACCATGTCTTGGGAGAGACTTTGTGATTACTTTCCAATTATAACCGGAGTCTGCCTGGAGAAACAGGGCCACCACAAGCCACGTACCCTACACATGAACTAACATAATGCAATGTTCTGTTTATATTTCAGTTGTGTTATGGGATAGAATTTTGTGTATTTTGATATTTGAGAGAAACAAAATCAAAACCAAAACATTACATTTCTAGTGACTGAACAGCCATTCACTGTACTACTGGATCAATCCATCCATTATCTTGGGTGGGGTCGCGGGCCAGACGTCCCTTTCCCCAGTGACGCCATACTCATCTCAATCATAGTTTGTTGGCCTTCTCAGATCAAATTTGTGGAGCGGAGGATGAGGTCATATTAAAGTTTTGAAGGATTTTAAAGAATTAATATGAATAATCTGATTGGAATGCACAATTCCCTTTACGATGCACTTGGGACTACAGCCAGAGGTACTGGCATCCAGGGGGGCGGCGTGATGTACCACCCGGGTACTGATCCAACTGTCCCCGTAGCACAGAATACCAAAAAGTCCAACAATTAATTAAGTAGTAAACACTGGCACAGAGTGTGGAGCCAGATTTATATTTGCTTCCTTATTTTTTAATTAGACGCTACTTGTTAAAGTTTACATCGTGTTCTATTTAGGCCAACAGCCATTTGTGGTAACAGCAAGAAACGCTGATGGATTTGACAAGTTAACATCATTTTATGAAGTGAAAATTGGTATTTTAGGAACCAGAAAGTCTGTATAATTGAACTAAATTGTTTGGTAAGGTGCAAAGTGTTTTCTGCAATGCTTTGGTTAAATGTTTTTTTTTTTTTTTTGGTTGTACAATATGTGAGGCACACCATGTAGTGGGAATTATGTAGAAAGACTTTTAGCCAAGAATAGCTTTTCCTAATCAAATATATCTTTTCAGTCAATATGAAGAGGCGGGCAACTGAGACCAATGAGTCCCAGTGTGGCTGCTGCTGCTGGTCATCGATAAAACTGAGATTTAATTAACTAAAGGAGAAGAAAAGAATGTCAGGGTGAATTTGTTCTATTACATCTCACAGTGTAGGAGCCCACAGGGTAAACCTGTGAGCGTGCGGATCAGTGGGTCTGTGTGTGATTATGTGTATGAGCTTGTGTTGAGCAGGGAAGCGACAGTTTTATTTAATATACAAGGTTTTGTTATATAACTGAAGCAAAACAGCCAAACAAAAAACTGCCTCCGGCATCATAAAAAGTCACCCCAGGGGAGTCAGCAGCAACATTTGCCTCAATCTTGAAGCTGCAGTTAACTGGATCTGTGCATTTATGAGATATCAAACCAATACAGTGACTGTTGTATAAAATTTTGAAAAGTGGCTGATATTCTTTTGTGTGACTAACTGAACGTATTACTGCAAGGATAGATCCTGCAGCCAGAAGTGTCAGGAAGTTATGAATGTATTATTGAACAAACCTGTGTCTATGATAAGAACTAAGAACTTTGAACAAACTTTAGGTAGAAGAAAGGAAAATGGACTTTCCTAAGGAGGTAAAGTGTCACCACAGCAGAGGCCACTAAACTTTTATAGACAACAGCCTAGCCGTCAACATTAAAAGACCAAATAAGTGACACATTAGGTGCTTTCGGACCAAACAGTTGCAGGGATGCAGTTCAAGGGACTACCCCACTGGGGAGACCCCCCCAAGAGCTACACACCTTCACTGGCTTTTTTCTGTTTGCCTTCGCACCGGCAGTAGGACTGCTGAAGTGACGTAACACTAAAAGCTGGCCAACTGTTAGCGATTAGCCAGCAAGCTCACAATGGGTAACACATAGTGACGTTACATTACTGATAAGTATTTTCTTTGTATGTTGCTAAGGTTAATTGTATAAGGAGCCACTAACCGTCTGCAGAGGCTTCTGCTGGTGGACCTCAGGTCCCCATGCTGCTGGTGATGGCTATTGATTGCTATTGTTTACACAGCTAACAGTTTTCTAAACAATGACAATTAGCACTGCTGCAGCTGAAGTGCTCATACAGCACATCACTCATGGTTCCTATTGTGTGTGGAGAGTACCCACCCTGAAGTAAAAGCTAATAAAATCCCTCAAAATGGCGTTCTAATAACTATTATTGTTCTGTTTTTGCAGTGCAGACACAGAAAAAAAAGAAGGTACCTTTTCCAATAATTCTAGGGACTATTTATGGCTCATGAGGAAGTTACCTCCTAAAATGGTATCACAGTGATCGGTGTGATTTAAATTTGAAGAAACAATAGGTCTGTATGTGTGTGTCTGTGTGTCTATGCATCTACAGTAGTGTGAATACGTTTGCTTCCACAGTACACAGATGTGATTGCCTCCAACAACAGAGAGCGTGTACTTAAAGATTGTTCTGTCACTTAAAAGTTGGGATAACATTCAAAACTTCTTGATTGCGTTAAGAATCCATTACTGCCTCATCACTGCACTGCAGGTGCATCACAATTTTATGATGCCATTTATCTCTGCATTTGTTATGAATTGCTAGTAGACGTGTAAAGTAAAACTGCTGTTACAGCCTTTATCACATCTCCAGGAAGCCTGATAAAAACACTGCCTGCCAAACTCTTACATGATAAAGATAACTATATCACTTAAGCTTTCAATGTGCGGTAAATCAATTATTTTGTACTGATCTTCAAGTACGCAAAAGGTAGTTTTTACATAATACTTCTATAAAGACTACTGTGTCTCTCACCCTGTTCAGTGTGTCCCTGTCCAGGTCCATGGCCCACGTTCTCCACACTGAGCCTCTGTAACACCTGGAGCAGGGCTGGCCCTAGCTGGGCACACAAGCCTGGCTCATAGTGTCTCTGACGATGACAAAGCACTTGCAGCACTCCAAGAGCTCGCTCTGCCAGGGGGGCCTCCCTTGTGCTAACCATGTCCTATACTCATTCAGACAGCAAACAGAGACAAACAGACACAAGTTTTAGGACTATCCGTCTGCACCAGTGTTCTGCTAATATAGTAAAGCCAGCCAGTTACCAAATGCAGGTTAAACACTCATGTTTTTCCACTAACTATGGGACATGAGTCTCATTTCTGTTTCATACACAGTGACGTGCAGCACATCAGCCACAATTTAAAAGTATCTTCACTTTAATAGGGCCAACGTCTTCTATCTCTCTTCCTGTTTGGGGTTTCTGGTGCTCACCAGGAGATTCAGGATGACAGCTGGGTACGTCTCTATCAGACTCAGGAGCTCCATGGTTTCTTTGTCTGGCTCCTCATCCTGCCTCTCATCTGCCTGGCTTTCTCTACTCTCTCCCTTCTCCTGTATCGCTGCCTGTATCCAGGAAGGAAATCCAACAGCCTTTTCATCTATTCTGATTCAAATTTTTGAGAACTAAAAGGGAATTAATATACAAACTAATGCATCATATCTCAGGGTGAAATTAATTTGTGAACCAAGTGTGTTCAGTCAAGCCACCTGTAACATGTGAGTGTGAGACAGAAGTGCAACAACTGTCCACTTACTGCAGTCTCCTCTGCATCTGTGTGCTGTTTGCGCTTGGTCAACCACAGTTCCAAAACCAGGGGCCCAAACCTTTCTGCTAACTCCGGACAGCGATAAATGAAATGGAGGAGTGCAGGATGGTGAATGTAGAGGGAAGAGAAGCTCTGGCAAGAGGAGAGTGCCTTGCTGATGCAGTTCAAGGGAGCCTTAAGTATGTTGGTAAGGAAAGATTAGATTGAAAATGCCAAAGTACTTTATTTGAGATGAGCAAACACACAAATTAGATGCTTGAAAATAATTTTTTCACAATCCAAATGTGAGGCTGCTTTTAAACCCCTTAGTCACAACAGGAAGCCTCCTGTAATTTATTGCTTATTTATATTCATAGCTAACATAAAGTATTATAAGTACTTTCAAACAAGCTGCTGCACAAAGTTTTTCCACATAATGTTCTTTGAGCTAAAGAAACAAATTATTTTGAGAAAAGATTATTTGTTCTGCGTAGCTTGAGAAAAAAGGGTAAGCTATAATTAATATTCTTTGCTGCTGAATCATCCACAGCATATGGATTTTGCATCAAAAGAAAATATGAGCTGTCAAGCTTTGATTCGGACTATTCAGAGGGCTCCACATTAAGGGATTCCATATTAAATCTCACAGAAGTCTAGCTCCAGCACATGCTGTTCTCTGTCTTTGTGCACAGGAAAACATCACGTTGATCTCCTGCATCTTGATACAGTCTCAACACCTTAGTGTGGTATTGCTAGTAGGTCAACTCAGTGAACATGACTTGATTTTTTAAATCTGAGATTGCATCATTAAACAGAAAATAAAACAGATTAGTTCAAATTGAGGCAGATTACTTGCCTCAAAAGTCAAGTGTACTTTAGTAGGCATAACAGATAGGGAACAAAAATGCATGGAAATGAGCACGAGCCTTGAGGCATCATGTTCTACAAGATACAGAAAAGCATCAAATCCATATTGTTTTCTTAAACTGTGCCTTGATAATGGTTCTGTGTATCTACTGCACTACTTCTGTAAGTTACAGTGGTCAGTGAACCTATCAGTTACCCCATCGAGGCCGGGGCTCTTGTGCTGTGTCACTGCCAGCAGGTAGAGGGTAGAGCGGAGCACAGAGCGAGGCAGGGCACAGCTGCCCTGCTCCTGCACGGAGCACAATAGCCACAACACACTGGAGAACACGGTCTGGTCTGGGAGGAGCCTGAGCACACGCACACACACACACATACACACAACAATGATAACTCTAACTTACAATATATACACATACATGAGGCCATTTACATTTGAATGCATACAAACATGCAAACACAAAAATAGCTCAATGTCAAACATGACTCAGCACATACTGTACATACATTCAGTGTGTGAGGGTAACAAAGTGGACAAACACACAAACACTGTGCAAATACATTCAGTGTGTGAGGGTAACAAAGCGGACAAACACACAAACACTGTGCAATGCAGACAACCTGCTCCAGGTCATGTTGATAATCACAGTCTTGCAATATTTCTTTGTCATGCAAAAATACACCCATACACATTCAGTTACAATGTATACCAACGCACAAACACATGCAAATATTCCCAGATCCTATCACTGAGTAGTATGCATAGGTTACACACGCTCAGCCCTCCTACGCTATGTAAATCTCTGGCCACAGCTCCCATTAATCTTGATGAGACCACACAGTGGCAGGGAGAGGCTCTCATCCCCTGACCCATCGGGGGGATAATGCACAGCCGAGCTTCCACAGATGGACAGATTAAAGTTTCCAAAGAAGCTGAGGCCATAAAATGCTGTATGTACTTAAGAACACCCTTGATGGGCTGGGGAGGGAGCTACAGTGACATTTAAAACCAGCTGGGTTCTTGGCAGAACTGAGAAATGTATTTATATAATTCTGAAGCTGTGATGTGACACTGAATATCCACCGGGATTCTGTATTTTCAGTGCAGTAATAAAAATCAAGTGTTGTCTTTTCTGCTTTCAGGGGCATCACATCAAAGCAATAAACATCTGTTATATCCAGATTAATAATGAATGTGGACAATTCACAATTAAAGTGTCAGATATCTTCCTAAGCACCTATAGCTATCTATAAAATATATACTTACTTATACACTGTATTTTACTTATATGTAGCCACACTTTTAAGTTTATATACAGATAAAACTGGAGCACAAACTAGTACGAAGAGTTTTGTTAACATTTTCCATAGCACAGATAATACAGTGCTACCAAGAGCTACTCAGCAGTCACCAAGACAGGAACAAAGACACGTCTTGGACACTGGTAACGCAGCACAAAGTCAGTACTTCTGTATCCAACTATGCTTCAGGCAAAACCAATCTGCAGCAGTACCAGGAACAAATGTTAACAATCAGTGAAATGTTTTTTCTGGTGCTGAAATATTAACTGAATTATTCTATTTCCACAAAAATACCAGCTCAGAACATGACTTTTTTTCCTCAACACCTGCTCAATATTAAACTGAACAAGGATTTCCCTCTTAATAAGCTGAACATTTAGAAAACCATTCTCCTTTTTCAGCTTTCTGAAGCACTAGTGTTAAGAATGCCTAGCCAGTCACCAGGCCAGACCATGTGTGTGCTCCACACTACCTGTCTCCTTGCTGCAGGGCAAGGTGCAGTATTATCACCAGACAGTACTGAGTGGCCCTCGGTCCTTTATAGTCACACAGCTGGAGCCCCACGGCCTCACACAGCACAGAGGGCCAGTCTGACAGGCGGCAGCACAGAGAGGGAAGGCTGTATAGAAGAAGACTCTCCACTTCCTCAGCATCTGGGGGGGGATGAGCAAGGAAATAAAACAGAAAGAGAAGGGAAGTGGGTTTAATAATCAAAGTGAGAAACAGGAAGAGGAGAAGGCCAAAGAGAGAGGGTGAATGAGAGAGACACATGAGAAGAAAGAAGAAGGGATAAGGCTGAAGGAGAAAGATGGACTGAACTGAGTAAAGCACAGCAGCAGAGGCACTGAGGCTTCATCAACAGACCAACACTCATTGATTCTGTACTTATATGACTAAAGCTAAGCCAAAGCTGTGGTTTATAAAAAAAAAATCATCTGGGTGTGAAAATGACTGGTTACACAGACTTTGGACTTTTTCCAAATATCTATGATTTATCAAAGCATAACGCCAGTATCCATCACTAACCGAGACGTGGACGCTTAAATGCAATTTATAACATTCTCTGAAAAAGCTATGTTATGTAATCTGGCAAAGTTGAAAATCATTTTTCAAAAACGATATCCCTAAAGAATAGAAAGACAAGATGAAGAAAGCATGTGAAATAATAGGTGTAACATCAAAGGGAGCAGTAAGAAAAACATCGAAACATGAATGAAAGGAGATGAGAGACAGGAGGGGGCGGTGTGAGACAGTGAGACAGTGAGACCGAGGCAACGGGCAAGACGGCACAGTGGTTAGCACTGTCGCCTCACAGCAAGAAGGTTCTGGGTTCAAACCTCATGGCTGAATGGGGCACTTCTGTGTGGAGGTTGTATGTTTTCCCCCTGCCCGTGTGGGGTTCCCTCCAAGTACTCTGGCTCCTTCCCCCAATGAGGACATGCAGGTTAGGTACAGTATAAAGGTGACTCTATAGACTGGTGACCTGTCCAGGTTTCACCCTACCTCTCGCCCAGTGTCTGCTAGTATTGGCTCCAGCCCCCTGTGACCCTCCACAAGAGAAGCGGTATAGATAATGGATGGATGATGACAAAGGGGAAGCACAGCAGGGACTTTAGAACTTTTTCTGAAATGGATAAAAGAGTAGGACTACCTGCACTGCGATATGGTCTCCATTTTTGGGTGGTCTTTAGTAAGTTGGAGAAAGAGGAGGAGAGAAAGGTGCAAGGGATGGTGGAGAAGAGAATGAGATGCAACTAATAAATAGCTCAAAGGCAATAAAACAAAGAGAATGGAACCAGAAACATGGCACTTGAACAGAGAAAATGGTGCTGAGCAATGCAACCTCTTGCAGGTACGAGGTAATCACAATATAGCAGGGACAGAGTAGTGACAAAGTAGGTACAAGGAGATGGCAGAAAGGGTTAAGGATCACTGATACATGTGGGGAGTGAGACTACCAATCAGCCAGAGGAAGGGAACAATGCAAGGAAGGAAATAGGAGGTAAAGAAATACAGAAAGAAGAGGAGAGATAAATATGAGGAAGAACCAGCGGGGGAAATGGCCATTATGCTAAAGGCTACAGACCCATGGCAAGACAGAGCGCAGTGATCGGGGTGAGTCACTGAGCACAAAGGGGAAGAAATAATGGCACTGTTTAGGAACCATGAGAAAAATGAGGACACCAGCCACCAATGCAGCCATCACCCTCTAGGGAACTGGTGGTAGAGTTAAGAAGGGAGGCAGGAAGAAGAACAGAAAGGCGTCTCAAAGGAATACTGGGGGTCTCAAAGGGACAACGGGGAGAGAGAAGAAGACAACAGAGGACAGATGATGGAGGAAAGACACCAAACAGACCTACAAAGCAGAAAAACAGAAATGAGAAGAGAGGTAATTATCAGACAGCAGCACAAAAGTACAAGTGACACTTTAATAACCATTAATTAGCAATATCGAAGAGAAATTCAATCAGCAAAAGACACAATTAAAACACTGACATGGAGAGTGCACACAACAAGCTGCTGAAGAGAGACAGAACTAATGTGTTTAAACCTGGAAAACAAAGTTTAAAACAAAGATAAAATGAACTTTTTGAACAAGAAACATGAGGGCAAAGAGAAATGAGAGAAGACAAGAGGCTGAAAATTAAAGTGAAACAGATAACGGTGATGGAAGAGAGGAAGATGTTGAGAGGCAGAAAAAAAACAGGAGACTAGCTCATTGTTCAAACCCACAGACAAACACACACACACACTTACTCAACTCTTACATCCCATTATCTCAAAACTCTGGTCTCAGTGTCAACATACCTCTGATCTGAAATGTGTTTTAACTCAGTTGCAACTTCACTTCCCTGAAATTTCTTGCAATATGTAATGTGTTCTAATGAAATGTACTTTAGTCTCAGGAGCAACGGCTCGACCTGCGTTGTCACAGATGTCACTGACACAGTTGGACGAGCCAGCTAATCTGGCGTTGAGACCCTTGTTTCTGAACAGGACACTACCTGACTTCAGAGAACAGGCCTCGCTATTAGGGACGAGAATCCTGTTTAACACTATAGATGTGTGAAGATAAGGTAAAGAGAAGAGAGAAAGTGCACAGGAGAGGAGAAAGAAAGAGAATGCCATGAACAGATACAGAAGAAAAACGCTAATGAAACTACTTATTTACTGTAATACACTTTTGTCAGCTTATGACTGTGATTCTAGAAAAATGAATAAGATGATTTTTTGTGTCCAATTTAGTTTGATTCATTCAATAAATGCCACCTAAAGTCTGTTTAATTTGTTCAACATTACCTTCATCTATCCATTTTACTACTGTCTGATTATATCCAAAGTAATCAGACAGAATTACTCTTATTATACATCATAAGCATTTCTTCTTTGGCTATGGAAGAATATGATTTGAACAACCGGCCTCACCTGACCTTTTCACACAAAGCACATCTTGAACACTGTCATCACTTCTATTCAACAGCTCAACAGCCTCAGATAAGTGGTAGCATGACATCATTGCTTGGAAACTGACAGGAACAACTGGGTAGTTGCTCTGTGTGTGGTTCACATGTGCATGTGTATTTGCATACCGTGGTAGCAGGCGCCCGAAGCAGGGTCTGATTGGGAAAGCAGACACATACTGAGTTTCTGTAGAAAACCACAGCACGATGTATTCAGATTTGTGTTCCTGAAAGAATTGAAGGAGAAGTACACAAACTAAGCATGATTACAAAGAAACAACAGTAGAAAGAATGCAGAGTGAAATACAGAGGAAATAAGGGCAAACACTGCAGCCATCCTCCACAGTACATGGTCAATATAGTGAAAAATCAACTACAAGACACAAGACAATGTGTGCCTAAACTTAGTCCTTTCAAATATGACACAGCCATACCGTGACACAGATACGGTATGGCTCAGTTTCATTACCGCTTAGAACAGTGGGGCAAAAGTATACTGCGTTAACCACATTTATGACCACACAAAAGCAAAGACACACTAACAGCTGCACAGAGAAAAGCAGACATGCTTACATACACCAAATCAAAAAACACAGTAGGCTGTGAAGTTGCAGAGCCGCTGCTCTGAGAAGGACACGCTGCTAGGAAGGCTGGCTTATTGGAACAAAGTAGACAGAGTGCCTCAGAAATGACAGAAACCTCTGTAGTGCTCTCTGGCTCACTGTTCACTGTGCTCTGACTGCAAATGGTAATAAGAACTAAACATTCTGAGGCACTGTGGTTTAACACACACACACATGCGGACACGCACATACACACAGCTTTCAGACAGCGGTGCTTTGTAAGAGTAATTGCTGTGCATGAGTGTGTGTCCTCAGTGTTGCATTGTACCTGTTTCCCACACAGAAGAGGGCTTTGTGTTCCAGAGCCAGCCGGTAGAAACCAGAGGATGCTGGAGGGAAGAGTGAGGTAATGTTACATAGTACAGTACATCACAGGGAGAACAGTAACAAAAACATGATAAACTACACACAAACCGCAAGATAAATTCTACAACAAACAGCTGAACACTAAGGAAAGGCACATAAATCTCCTGTATAGCTCTAAGGACAACAAAAGAACATGCTGATGAAAAAAAAAAGAGCTCAGTGTTGTAAACATGAGTCTGGCAGTTCAGTGGTTTGGAATAAAGTATAGAGGCTTGTGACAGACTAAGGAGGAGAGAGAAAGAAACACCTGTCATCATTATGCCAGGAATCAGTCACATGACTCAGTCTCTGTGCACCGTTATGAGACAGTGCACATGATGTTAACAACATCAGTGTCAGTGTGCTGGGTTAGCGCCACAGTCCCAAAACAACTAAAAATGACAAATGTGAAAAAGTATTTTGTACATAACAAAGCTAACAGCACTATCAGGAGGGTTTACAACACCTAAACGAGCTCATCTATCAAAACATCAGCTCAATCAAGGAGTATATGTCCTCCTAGGTTTTAAGCCTACTTTACGTTTGATTTTAAAAATGCTGCATGTTATGTGGTTCCTTATTTCTACAGAGAGTTGCTGCTCTCACAGAAAATGATCTGCTGCATCTAAATGTAATAATACAGTTTTCTCTAGCAAATGTAATGTCCATGGGTCCATGATCCGCAAAACTGTTTTAATGCCACATTAGTTTTCAAGCTACATTCCCCCTTAAACGATAATCTAAAACTACCCTTGGGGGGAATCGGAGGGCTACACCGAAGGTTATGGGACACAGTACTAGTGTAACTCTATGGGGAAAAAGCATTTCATAAAGCTGCATTTAATGTCTTGGCTGTTTCAGTGCCGCAGAGAGAAAGAGCATCCCTCACTTATTAGAGGAAGGTTTTCATTTCAAGCCACTAGCTCACCAGCAGAGGACTCCTCAGTCATATCTGCAGAAAAGCGTTATTTGTTGTTAACAGCTTGGGGCATAAATATAAAGCTTATGCTTTGTTTTAATGCCGCTACACTGGCTTGTCTAGCTGCCCGAGGCAACACGTTTCCTGTTAGTGAGGTTCATCATGTGGACTACCAGCCTGGGACAGATTGCTCAGTTTCTCCCCTACAGTGATAGGACACTATCAGGTATTTACGTAGCTCCTGCTTTGATGAGAGCAGAATCAGCTCGTGGCTTTGTTGTTTCTGTCTTCGTTTTAAATCGTTTACTCCATTAAACATTACTACAGAAACATAAAGGTTCAGTGGTTCAGAGGCAATCTATTATGGGATAATGAAATGCGATTAAGTTGACGTATCTTTGTATGATTAGCTGGGAACAGAGCTTTATAGTGAAACTGCTCCTGTTGCTGCTGATTTAATTTAGTGAGACATTTAAGACTTCAAGCAAAATGTATTGTAAGCAAGATGTTTAATTGGCAAATCTGCATTAAAACAACAGGCTTGTTTAGAAATAAGCTTGTAGACAGAGGCCTCTAGTTTCACTGCATTACAGGTTGGTGCCATATGTTACTGGCAAGACCAGTGACGATTGGTGATTTAACAGACTTTATATTCTTTATTCTTAAATAGTCCTCAAGTAACTCAGGATATTTAAATGTTGGCTGTCTTATATTTCATGACTTTATCCAATGTTTTAATTCAGTGTAGTAACAGTGCTTCTGTTGCAGCTACTCAACGATGGTATTTTTCTCATACAGTGTGCCATCATTATAATATTCCAAGGTCTGTCAGCCTTTAGAAGTCCTCTGAGTAAGGAGGAAATATTCTTACATTTTAGATCAGGCAGAATACTGAAAAACATCAACTGGACTAGATTTCTAGGCCGAAGACGTTTCACCTCTCATCCAACAGGCTTCATCAGTTCTGACTGACTTTTCGACCTAGGGATCTAGACCAGTTGAAGTTTTTTTCATCTTACAATGACCAGGATGACTGACAATCTGCACAGACATCAGGCAGAATATCTAGAAAATAGCTTCATCAAGATCATCACCCCCAGCCTGGCAATGTGAGCCAGTGCAAATGGAAGAACATACACTGTCAGCAAAAACCAAATCATGGAGAGCATGCTGTTAATTTGATGTTATATGATGCAGTGTTGCCCAACTCACCTAGTTTATTAGCAAAGACGGGCATGAGAGATGGAAGGAGGGTGAACTGGGACGACAGGATGGAGTAGAAGTACTGCAGTACCTGAGCGCTGGGTGTACGCTCACACATCCTCTACTCACAGGAAATCACACGCAAAGAATCAAAATACAAAGTATAAACCTTTTTTGTCCAGTTGATTGTTGGTGTGAAAACCAACTTAAAAACAAACCTCATAAAAAAATAAAATAAAAACAAACCACTTGGTGGCTCTACAGCAGAGGCACTGATCGATAGGTACAAATGTCCATGTGTACACAGAGCTAATGAGGACAGAGGCTGTGGGGCTACGCCTGTTAATGTAGTCATTTAGAGGAACCGCCAGACAGAGCAGGATAATCAGTGTGACCTATTTCCCAGGACAGAGATGGGCACATAGCAAGATAATTTTCTCAAGTGTTTGGTTGCAAGCGTAAGTGACAGAGAGATAGAAGGTTCAGATGAGAAGATGATGAACTGGATGTGAGCCTCTGTGTGTGTGTGTGTGTGTGTCCATCTCTCACAATGACGGTGGGTATCCAGATGGAGTCGCAGCAGCGAAGCAGACACTGGCACAGAGACTCCAGTGAGTCCTGAGTGTGGCTGTGTTTAGACGGCGCCGTGAATGTGTTCTCCTTCAGAACAGGCTCTGATGCACACTCCTCAGCCAACCTTGGACACACACATACACAACTTTATACACAAAAAGAATACAGACAGACACACACACAAACCAAAGACTTCACTAAGCTGCTGGTTGACTGAAGATATTTAGTCCAGTGACTCCACTAATATTCACACAATTCAACACAATAATTGAGCCAAGTGCTTTTAATACAAATGTTGTAAATAATATGACCAAACGAAGCTTTAGGGCACACATTTTAAGTGAAGGATCATTAAACAATGAAACTGAACACTTTCTGTACATTAGTGCATCAGTATACTGACCCTTGAATTTGCACAATGACCCTATTTATCCACTTGAACATGTGACTTGACAATGTGCTGACCTGCAGGCAGCCTGAAAACAGACCAGGGCCTGGAGCGCAAAGACTTCTGACCTAGAAATCTGGCTGCTGGGGTCTGACCCCTTCAGATGCCCCTAGAGGATAACAGAGAGAGATGGGGAAAAACAAACAGGATGAGAGGAGAGAATGGAAGCAGAACAGGAGACAAACAAACCCAATCACATCACAAAGACACCAATCATTGTATTCAAAGCACATCATCCCAGAGATCTCCTGGAGGAAATCATTAAAAGTTCATCTAAAAAAAAGAAAAGCAAACCTCCTCTATTAAAACCTGAGCTCAAAAACACTGAAAATCCTTCTGTTTCTTCAGTGAATATTCACCTTACAGGTCCCAATGACATTTGGTGAATCTGTACTGTGCCTCAGTGTGATTAAAGTAATTGCTAAGTTGGAATGTGAATAAATGCCAACCCCTCTCTCCTCCGGCTGTCGGAGCCCGTTTAAATGTCTGGATCTGGATCCTTGTCTTTCAGCAGTCCCAGCCCCTTATTCTCTCTCTCTCTCATTTTGTTAATTTTCCTGAATATTCCTTTCTTCCCTTTGCCCTTTTCCCTCTTTCTAATGTGTTTTTGTTTTCTTCCCCTGTGTGTATCAGTGCTGTGTGTAGTCTGTCCTCCTACCAGGTCTTTGTCTGGAGGGGAGGTCATGTGGCCCAGGTCTACTGGCTCATCCTCCAGGATCATATTCTTCATAATGATATGATTTCAATATACATATGTTGGTATTCTGACTGTCCATACTGTAAATCTATGAGGATGGTTTATTTTGTACACGACATCGACTGCACCATCTGTCCTAGAAAAGGGATCCCTGCTCTGTTGCTCTTCTTTGGGAGGAGATTCGATTCATTTGAGGGTCTAAGGACACAGGGTGCCATATGCTGTACAAGCCCCCTGGTGCAAATTTGTGATGTGATATCAGGCTGTACAAATAAAATCTGACTTGGCATGACACCAGATAGCATCAACAGCAGCTATGACAGTGACATTTTTAAAGTCTAGTGATAAGCACAGGAAACAGTCTCAACAAAGGTGTCAGACAGGAAGCATAGGCAGTTCTCTTCACCACCAGTTTATGAAGTTCCTAGCTCATAACTCTGCATTTTATATTTGTGGACAAAACATAAATCAAGACTAACTCACAGAGCTTCGCCGATGGCCAGCGGAGGGTAGCGGCAGCTCAGTGAGTCTGTGTGTGATGGCCTCTACCAGTCCTTCTACCTCCCCGTACTGGACTGGTATGGACTGGTGGTTTAGTCTGGACAAATTAAAAAGGGACAGACATTTATACAGAGGAAAGAAACCAGTATTAAATACATATGAATACAAATGAATGATAGGTAGGTCAGAAGGGAAGGAGGCAATGGGCAAACAGGCTTATGAGTGTCTCTCAAACAGCACCTACAACAGTTTATCTACAAGTCTATTGCGTTTCTGCATCTGCGTATGTGCTCACTAGTGAGCATGCAAACACATGTGGGTGGTCTATGTGTACTGTGTATGTGTTTTCATTTGGTGATGAGAGAAAGTGACTAAGCAACTGGCAGTGTGTGTAAATGAATGGGATATTGTACCCGTTTGCTTTCAATCATTCACTAGTCCTTGATCAGTAACGTGTCTGAGAGGACTCTACTGAGACACAGCACCCATTCATGTCAATCACAATAAAAAGTTTAAAATCCTCAGGACATACTGTAGCTGTGCAAGTGTCCTTGATGATATGCAAGTCATTTATCTACAGTATGTGTGTCTGTGTATACCTGAAAAGGATGGCGGCAGTGCTGGCAGCCTGTGTAGCTACAACCAGGCAGGAGGAGGAGACTCCGACTCTCACAGCCTCTGAAACCGCCACAAACCCTGGTCCACTAGGGAACAGACGCACACTCGGGGGCTGTCTGTAAACGCACACAAACACAGACACACATATATGCACCACCGTGACAACCCATTAAAATTACAGTGCATTCATAACCAGTCCATAAATATTTTCTGTTCTAAAGGCTTTTGTTGAAAACCGTTTGCAGCCAACAACTTCAACCCATAGACATCCACAGACACTTTGCATCTTGGATGGTGAAGCTCTCTTTTGTGCATGAGCTAACATTAAAAGGACACCCAAGAAACATTCAGTAGCTAACCTTCCAATTAAGTGTGAAGCCACTATATGTTAAAAGGCCTAGTTCTCCCACAAAGTCCATTCTATAGTGATCCAAACCTACTCAACTTCAAGCTGAGACTTACTGTTTCACACTGAATGTGCTGAAGCCTGAAAAACCAAAAATGTATAAACAGTCTGCGCCACTGTTAGATAGTTGTCTGCTAGCTAGAGAAACAGAGCCTAGACTGGCATCTATGATATATTCTACTAAAATCACTGTTGAAAGCAAACAATTCAAGAGCAAGACAGTTAAAAATGGCTTAGCACTGACTTCTAGATGAGTCAGTAACTCTGCCAAATGCAGAGGAAGGCAGCAGCCTTTCACTAGTTATATGTTTTTGATACGGATGTCAAAAAAGGTACATTAAAAATGACAGTATTCATTTTCCTCATCGATCTACCATTCTTTGGCTTTTGCTGAGCTGTCATGAAACCCCCCACCCCCCTTTGACAACAGTGACCTATTGGCATCCAAAGATCACCAGAGTACTGTACTGTATGTCTCTGGTCCACGATGCAGAGCCGCAGCAGCTGTGATTCACTTTTTCCACAACAGAAGGTGCAGAGAAATGACAAAGGTCCACACAAACATGACCACATACACATTGGTGCTTTGCACTGGAGCTGCTAACATACAAAAAAAACATCCACCCACATCCGTGGCCAAATTACAGAATACTCCAGTCTCTCTCTCTCTCTCTCTCTCACACACACACACACTCACATGCACTTTAGTTTGTTCAGCATTTTAAGAGCCCTGGCCTAGCTAATGTTCTTACTGTTCCACTCAGTGGAAAGGACAAATTACCCTCGACATCTGAAATTTCTCATTCCCTGTGTCATTGCCATGTGATGGTTGGAACATTCCATTAAAATTAGGTCAACCTTGCAGAAATATGACAGTGTTTTACTGGCTCGTGATACACCTTCATCTGCAAACCAGTAGACTGTTAATATAAACCTAATTAAACTCCCCACTGCACCGTATTTTACAAGTTTTAAAGGAAGCTGCTTCTCCCTGTTGGTGTAGCTGATGTTGTACATGCTGATGAGTTTGTGAACAAACATACAATGGTTTAAAAAACATTATCTTCAATGTGTGTGTGGTTCTGGTGATGTTAACATGCAGAAGCTTCACAACTACTACCTAAACATTAAGTAGTGACATTTCAGTGGCCTACAGCATAACTCCATTATCACATGATCATTATGTCAAATCAACAGAGTTAATTAGGGTATGGCATTAATGGTGATACATGAACAGGCCCCAAAATGTTTCTTCAGTTCAAAGCATTTCCACTGAAATCTGTTCACTGAGACCCACAGATCACCGAGTACTGCTGCTGAGCAGCGCCGTGTCTTCTTTGTTATTCTTCATTTTCTTTCAATGCAGCTTTAGTCTTATCAGCAGATAAATCACAATAAACTATCAGTTGAGCTTTATTGTGATATAGATGAACTATCCTTTAACATACACACTGTAGGTACAACAATACTGGCATTTGCAGCAGGGACCTTTCTGCAGAAGTGTCAGCCTGGATGACAGCTGCAGCTAACTGGGACACCTTAATTAAACCATAATTACTTTAATTTGCTGCAGCTGTGTCTATTCTTCTTTTGAAAAAGTAGAGCCGCTGAGGTGTAGTAACATAATTTTTAGTCACTGAGCAAAGAAGCTCCATGCAGGACTTTTCAATAGAGCTGTATGTCCAGTGCAGTAAAGTCATTCTGGTAAAGAAGAAAAATGTACAGACCAGTCTCACCTTTCCAGAATCTCAGAAAGCAGGAGCAGACCTTGTTTCTGCACTTCCAGGTTGGTCAGCCGCAGAGCCTGCTTCAGACTCCGCACCAGGGACTCAATACCTAACACATACCGTAGACACATTGCAAGAAATACTTGACTCAGCTTTGGACAACCAGGCTGGTAGACCTCAGTGCTTTGACTAATGTCTACTAGGCTATAGGCTGAAGAAACATCCTGCTCATAAATGTATAGAGGCCAAAAGCACAAAGACACACCAACACACACAGTCGTGTACAGTATGTCAAACGAACAGTGGTAGTGGTACATCTTTCTCATTTACTGCTACAGAGAATCTCCTGTAATGATCTCATGTTTATACTGAACTAGAACAAGGGCCTAATAGCTCAAGGAGTGGCTATACCAGATATCCTGTGTACTAGTAAATGAAGGCCGAACTGTTTTTCAGAGTATTTCTGTGGAGCGAGACTGAAGTGCTGCAGAATTAAAGAGAGTCTGACATCACATGCACTGCATCTTGGTAGGGTTTTCTAATGTGTCTAAGCCTTCTCACCATAGACAGAGTGACACTGAGAAAAGAATAATGGGTCTTCGGTCAGCAGCAGCAAACAGCTGTAGACAGACCACAGAAGTACCTCACTGCTACTGGCCAGACGGTCAAACAGAAACTCTATAAGGAAAAAAAAAAAGAATCTATAAAATAACTTGTGTGAAGCTAAAGAAATAAAACAGAGAAATGAACACTGCTGCTACACCCTAATACACTTCTGCTGCAGCAGCATCATATCACAACCAAAATACTGTGTCATATTTTCATGCAAATTTAGAACAGGGTACACATAAAAGGATGGTAAATTCTGGTGCAACACAAATATAATCTCAACTGTGATGAAGAGGCGGAGAAAGCAACAAAAAGATAAAAAGTAGGGGAAGTTTTTAAACCTTTAGGCAGACAATGAGTCAAAAGGGGAAGGGGAAGAAACCAAATGTGTGTGTGTGTGTGTGTGTGTGTTTATCACCAGGTACGTCAGCCTCGATGAAGGGAGCACTGTACTGACTAGGAGAATGAACCAGGATGGATGCAATACACTTAGCACTGGTCACCTGCAATGTCTCATCACCACTCAGCAGCAACTGGAAGACAGTTAATGAATTTTCTTAGAGTCCATGAATCCACTCTACTTCCTGAGCCGCAGCCGCCCCACTGATCACACACCGATGATCCACAAAAATCTACCTACATCACAAGCTGTGCTGTAATACACGTCATCACTGAGAAAAATCTCATTAGATATAATCTACACATTGATTTCCCACACATGAAGCACCCATACTTGTCCAGAGTAAACCCCCCTGAATCCCTATTCAAAGGTACATTAATCCAGGATTAGAACTTCTTGTTATGATTACTGTCAGTCCCAGAATGCAGGTCTTGGGAGTGGGAGCAGGATGTTTGGACAGAGACCTTTTTCAGTAAGAGAGGCAGAGGGCAGTGGCCAGTGGGCTGTTGCTCTTGGTTTTGGCTGAGGTTCTGGCTGTTGTTCGTGCAGATGTTCTGGTTCTCACTGCACACGATCTGATGGCCAGGGGTGTTCATCAGAACTGACACCGTCTCTCCATGCTGCACTAGCAGCCACAGCAGGCCTAACAAACAAGTGTGGAAACTACAGTGATGACAAATATATGCTTACATGGTAACATTTTACCAACTGAACATATGTATAAATTATATTTACAGCCTGTGCTTATTGTTTCTGATGTTGTTAATGTCACTTTGAACTGTCTCTGAAATGCGCCATCTAAATAAAGTTGTCTTGCCTTGACTATACAAAGTGTAACATTAATAATAAGACATGTCAAGGAAATAGATACAATATGCATGAACAGAAATGCAGAAACGTCTTTGTTTCTTGCTGTTTGTTTTTAATAATCTGGTATTATGCCTGCACTGATACTACTGCATCTGTAGCATCACTGTCATAGACAAGTCCTTTTCCTAGTTTTCCTGCTGCATTGGCAAACCCAACCCAAAAACAAAATGTCTCCGGCCACAGATATCACCAGCACAGAGGCATAAAGAGATCATAAAAATGCACTATGTAAATTGCCAAACCATAAAATACAAAATAATACTTATACTGTAGCCTTTTTTTAAACTGAGTTTACAAAAGGTCAGGACAATTCACATTAAACCCTGGTGATTAGGACAACGCCCTCACATGGGAGACAAAATGGAAGAAGCCTTAGGAAAGATCATAAAAATACAACATGCAGATACATCAAACGTGTGTAATGAACAACACCCAAAGTCCAAACGTTACGGTGCCATAGAGATGGAGGCACACGAGCTCACTGAGGCCCTCCATCACGTCATTGATTTGAGTTTCACACTTAGGACAAATACAGTAGACATATAACTCAGATGAAAACACAATGCAATAATCAGTTATGTTATTAGCAATTAAATGTAGGACAGCTGTTTGGATGTTCTTTTCCATTCTCGCCATCTGGAGACAACATAATGAAGCAGGAAAACAGACATCATTTTAAACATGAGGAAAAGTGCATTCTATTTTGATAGAAGTGCTTTGAATAGTCTACATACAATCACATAAAATAAACATTAGTCTTGTCTAATTGCTCCACGCTGCTGTTCTCAGCGGCACTGGTAAGAGCTTATCAAGATTAAATCAATTTAAATTACACACAACAAGAGCAACAGCTCAAATGCGGCTACTCTAAAAACTGGGGTGAACCACCCTTGCACCTCTGTTCCAAGCCAACACAGCATCCCACTTCTCTCTCAAGTCTATATAGTGATATAGCAACTTCAATTTTTTAGAAGATAATGGCTATATTTTATTTTCAATAACTCCTCTGCACCTAGCATAACCTCTATTCTGGTTATCATCAAAGCACACGCTGGCGAGCCT